GTAGCGATGCCAGGAGCCCCTAGTAGCGTCCTTGCTCCTAGTAGCGAGGCCAGGAGCCCCTAGTAGCGTCCTTACTCCTAGTAGCGATGCCAGGAGCCCCTAGTAGCGTCCTTGCTCCTATGTGTACAGCAGTCCAAAAAACTTAATGTGAACGCTCGCGACCCCACACCGGAAGCAGAGGGTAACTATGAAGCAACTAGTCGGAGAGGTTCAACTAAGGAGAGGTAGTCCTGGAAAGCTTTGTTGTATTTCTCAGCGGGTGCTTCTTCAGGGCAGGAAGAACGCTTCGGACTGTGGCTGAGGCACGTACCACCTCAGCCTTGGGCTGCTCCTGGCAAGTGGGTATGAAGAAAAATTAATAAAATATATTTGTGTTGTTCTCTATTTTTATAGAAAAAAAAGACAATGAAAACAAAAAAACAATTGTATGTATATATGTTTTTTCAATGGTGTTATTTGAATCAAAATGTAGCAAAAACGAGCTAAAGAGTGGAGACCCAGCAACCTTGGCTTCAGACGCTCTATTCATCTAATGATTCACCCCTCGAGGCTAGGGCTTCCGTGACCTCGAGCCATTCTGTATCCTAGCTACTAGTAGTGTTCTTGCTACGACACGTGAAACGATTCCCAAGGAAGCTTCTAGCTCCTATTTACTTATCAACTAGATACTTCCTGGCTTCCAGCCGAGCTACCAGCCACTCACATACTTCTCCCCTTCGCCCTACCTCCCCCCACACCTGCACCAAAGAGGATAGCCACGAGACGCCGGCATCACTCTCCTGCCGAGCTTCAAGCTAAATGTGTCGAGCCAAGAAAATGTTTTACCTCTAACCTAGTAGCGATGGCCTCCAACCTACCTCCAACCTACTAGCGATGGCCTCCAACCTAATAGCGATGGCCTCCAACCTAATAGCGATGGCCTCCAACCTACTAGCGATGGCCTCCAACCTACTAGCGATGGCCTCCAACTTAGTAGCGATGGCCTGGCGCCTCCAACTTAGTAGCGATGGCCTCCAACCTAGTAGCGATGGCCTTCAACTTAGTAGCGATGGCCTCCAACCTTAGCGATGGCCTCCAACCTAGTAGCGCGATGGCTTCCAACTTAGTAGCGATGGCCTCCAACCTAGTAGCGATGGCCTCCAACCTGATGGCCTCCAACCTAGTAGCGATGGCCTCCAACCTAGTAGCGATGGCCTCCAACCTAGTAGCGATGGCCTCCAACCTAGTAGCGATGGCCTCCAACCTAGTAGCGATGGCCTCCAACTTAGTATCGATGGCCTCCAACTTTGTAGCGATGGCCTCCAATCTACGTATGTTTAAGTTTGCCTATTTGTGTCTTTTCATTGTGCGACAAGGTGCGAGCGAAGTATACGCGCAACGAAAGACACACTTAGCAATCTCAAGAACAATGTAAAAGTAAAAGCTATAAGAGGCTACGAGGGGTGCTACAAGTACTTGTAAAAAGGGCTAAGTGCTGTAAGAGTACATGTCAAAAAGAACTCAAATTCTACAAGGAGGCTGTGCCGACTTCATTGTCAAAGCATGTTCATCGAAATGTCCAAGGCAGCGGTTGGTCAAGTGCCTTCAGGCCAGCCTGTGTCTTGTTCTCAGTCTCACCAGGGATTTCTTGAAGGCCTTCATCTTCTTGGACCTCAGCATTGCCCTGCGTCGCCCTGCGCTGCACAACGCCCTGCGTCCGGGTGCATCCCGCTGCTCAAATGCGGTCATGCCGAGGTGCTGGAAGGTCGGACTTTTCCCGCTGTGGACCCCCTTTGAAGATCCGTGCGAAGCTGGGTTTCACTTCCACCACCCTGAGACCGGTTGCGTGCGTCGAATGCATTCTTTGTTCTGACGATTCCTGACGCACCTAACAAGAAGGCTTTCTGGAGGCCTTGAGCTTTAGGAAGTTTTTTGGCATCAGTGTCAGTGGGACAACAGGATTTCAATCAAGCCTTTTTGCCCTGCCCTGCTTTTCCATTTGGATGTGGTGCCTCTTGGCCACTTTGCGCTTCTTCTTTGGCGCCTGCAGTTTCCCAAACAGGTCTGCGATGATCTGCATCAACAAATGCAGAGCACAAGTCCTTTGGAACATGACTCTGGCACTGCATGTGCTTGTGAATTGTTTGTGACGTTTGTGCATTCTCTTGGTTGAAGTTGTTCAAAAGCTTTCCATGGGAATTGGCTGAGTCCTGTTGGCTTGCCTCCTCGGCGCTGGCTTCGGGGCCCTCGGATGAAACTCTAACGTCGGAAGTGAGAGAGCTATAAAAGCGATGGCCTCCAACCTTGTAGGGATGGCCTCCAACCTACTAGCGATGGCCTCCAACCTACTGGCGATGGCCTCCAACCTACTAGCGATGGCCTCCAAAAAAAAAAGCGATGGCCTTCAACCTAATAGCGATGGCCTTCAACCTAATAGCGATGGCCTCCAACCTAGTAGCGATGGCCTCCAACTTGGTAGCGATGGCCTCCAACTTATAGTATAGCGATGGCCTCCAACTTAGTAGCGATGGCCTCCAACTTATAGTATAGCGATGGCCTCCAACTTAGTAGCGATGGCCTCCAACTTATAGTATAGCGATGGCCTATAGTAGCGATGGCCTCCAACTTAGTAGCGATGGCCTCCAACTTCCTAGCGATTGCGCCTCCAACAACTTAGTAGCGATGGCCTCCAACCTAATAGCGATGGCCTCCAACATACTGGAGAAGGCCTCCAACCTGGTAGCGATCCCCTCCAACTGTGCAAACCGTCTTATCACCGAGTGGCAGGGACATAACGACGCACCAGCAAGCCTTCACCTGGACATCCACCGATCGGATAAAGTTTGTCATGTCGCCAGTCACCAGCGCCTAACGATGGTGCCATGGGAGTCTAGTCGTCAAAGCCTGCACCGAGAAACGCTTTCAAAGAACGTCATCTCGGTTTAGACAAACCTTGTCTCGCACATTTGTTCGCTACTAGTAACAGTAACCAGGGCACTACTAGTAGCAAGAAGCTACTAGTAACAAGGGCATCGCTACTAGGAACAAGTGCATCGCTGCTAGGAGCAAAGACGCTACTAGGAGCTCCTGGCCTTACTAGTAGTAACAAGAAGCTGCTAGTAACAAGGGCATCGCTACTAGGAACAAGTGCATCGCTACTAGG